TGGCTGCTATTATAAGGCAAAGCTCCTGCTACCCCTCAGTACAGGCAGAGAGGCAGGGATTAATCTAGCCCATTACATTTGGGGGTGGGAGGTGGGCACATTGACTCTGACTAGGCACACTGAAGACTCCTGAAGCTCTAGGGCCCCATTTACACCTGGCATTAACATCTGTCCTGAACGGTGGACAGAGGTCAAAAATGTTTGTGCTGCTATTTTGTGTTTTATCAACATGTTTTAACACAATGATCTATGCACTCTTGAAATCCCCTTAAAGAAATCTGATCTCAAGTGGTAACAGTATGGCGTTTGAGTCACATGGTAATAACAGGTGTGAATGGTCTGTCTCACCTGCATGATGACTTGTGAACGGCTCAAGGTCCCAATATACTTCAAGCTAAATTAAAGAATAAACTGGTGTTCGTTTGGGAAGTTCGAAACAGTTTGCCAAAGCGAACTTTCCAGAGTTTGGTTCAGCTTGTAATAGGGTGACCAGATTTCTCGGAGTTGAATAGGGACCGACACAGAACCGGGGGGGGGGGGGACATCTTGCTATGGGGGACATCTTGCTATGACACACGCAAGGTCTCTCGCTCTCTCCCTCTCTATCGTTCGCGCGCTACACGGGCACACACACGCAAGGTCTCTCGCTCTCTCCCTCTCTGTCATGCGCGCGCTACACGGTTTTGAACATAACATACATACATATTCACGTAGCCTTTCGAAAACGAAACCTATAATATATAAAAATATATATTAACGATGAAATACGGGACAAAACATGATTTTTTCATAATAAGTCGGGACACTAAAATTAGAGTTGAAATACGGGACTGTCCCGGGAAAAACGGGACGTCTGGTCACCCTAGCTTGTAAACATCTTCATTGGTCAATGACGATTACGTAATAGGTAGGTGTGCGCGGAGGCTCCGCCTTCTTTGATTACGTAATAGGTAGGTGTGCGAGGAGGCTCCGCCTTCTTTGACTAACGAATCTTCTCCAGTTCATTACTCATGTGTAGTCCGTTATGGTCAGACGTTCGTGACTAAAACACAAACACACCGGAGAGCTGCTTAGTAAAAACTGAAGTTGTAATTCAAATTAAACGAGGCACTGACACTGTCTGTTCATGTTTAATACTGTAAAGCTGCTTGTTTTTAAATCATCTATTGCATAAAGTGCTGTATTAATAAATGTAACGTGACTTTATGCCGATTTGGTGAAAACATATAACAACGTGGATGATCTATGCTTTATAACTGGTGTTTTCTCAAAACAGTTTTGTTGTATGTTTATTTTGTTATTGAGAGAAAAGCACACAGCACATATTTACATATTCATCTAAATGTTGCTCTCAGCAGCGTGAGCTGACAGTATACCGCTGCTCAAGTATTTTCGAACTTCATTTTACCCCTTAGCGAAGAACGAAAAAGAACTTCGCCATAAGTATATCGCTGCTTTCACCTGAGACTTATGCTAAAAACAGGCATAGACAGGGCCTAGATGTTTCTGGTCTTGCCCTTTAAATAACACTTGGGCACCTATAAAATGTTTACAGCTTAGTTGAGCTTTGAAATTTTCATACTTTATTTCTAATTTTCAAAGATTTTGGGTGAATATACAGTATTGGGTTTTCTATATTAGATGAACAAAGTTTACTATTAAAATATATTTTCAATTATTTAAATGTTATTATTTACATTTTATAAAAATAGGCCTACATAAAATATATAACATGTTACATTTACAAATTTCACAAAATACTAAAAAATATTTTAAATTATTTATATTAAATTATTTAAATGTAATTAATTCCATTTACAATTAGAAATTTTACAAAATAATATATATATATTTTATTATTTTATATTAAATTATTTAAATTTAATTGTTTACATTTTATTAAAACAAAAAAAAGTTATTCATGAAAAAAGAAAAAAGAACTGTATATTTAGACATGTCAGTGCTGGAAAATTAGGGCCGTATTTTCTAAACAGGGTAAATTAGGTGAGAGCGGAATTCAATAAAAGCACAGATGGGAGTGGAAAGTTCTGCGCGTGATCTACTGACGATGCACAAATTAAAGGACACAGACACAACTGGATCATTTCCATAATGACCTCAAATACCAGTAAATGGACTAGCGTAAACCTTAGTAAATCACCTTGCATGATTAATTTAAATACTCTCCTCCCATACATTTTGCTTCTGAAAGGAAAACTCCTACAAATAGGTCAGCCGAAAAAAATAACCCTGTCCACGCCTTTTCAGCGCAAAATGTTCACTGTGTGTCTTTAGTAAATCCTGACAGTAGTTTTTTAACGCCAAAAGAGGGTTTGCGCTGGAGCAAGCTGTTAATAAATCTGGCCCTTAAAATGCAACTAAAAGTATTATATGACATCAGCTCAAATTCCCCCAGCATGTCATTGTGGTTGTTGTGGTGATGACCCTGCACCACAATACGTTAAGCAATCATTTCATATCTGATCTTACGCTGGTAAAATCAGCTGCGTGTCAAGTGATCTTGCTATGAGAAAAAAAGCTGACATGATGACAGATTGAGTGTCTAATAGCGGAGGAGAAGAGATAGATGGGGATCTTGCATGTTCGTATGAAGCACACCAGTAATTTCCCCAGGTCATCTACACTTACATGTGAACATCTTTCATGCACACAGAAAGACAGAAGGGAGGGAAGCGCTTTATAATTTCTGAAGAGTGTAAAATGTGTGAGGTTGTTAGAGAGATAGAATGGTACAATATTCAGGGACTCATATTATTCACTAATCTATTAGTGCCAATTAATTCACGGCAGCAACTTGGGCGCAGTTTCTTAATTTATTATACTGGAGATGTAAAGTGGGGCAGAAGGAGAGATGTAGAAGAAACGGCTTGTGGTTGAAGAAAAAGTAGCTTGACTGAACATATTCCTGGAGATCTAGTATCTATGCACTACTTCTCCAGTATGGCATGACCAAACATTTTCCAATTCCCAAGGCCTGTCCATTAGTAAAACGGTAACACTTTACAATAAGGTTCATTGGTTAATGTATTAACTAACATTAACTAACAATGAGTAATACATTTGTTACAGTATTTATTAATCTTTGTTAATGTTAGTTAAAAAAATACAACTGTTCATTGTTTGTTCATGTTAGTTTAGAGTGCATTAACAAACACAACCTTTGATTTTAATAACGTATTAGTAAATGTTGAAATTAATATTAACTAAGATTAATAAATGCTGAAGAAGTATTGTTCATTCTTAGTTCATGTTAACTAAGGTAGTTAACTAATGAACCTTATTTTAAAGTGTTACCAGTAAAACTATGAATAGGTCGTTCCTGTAATGCGGCACCTTTTGAACTCTGTAACATTAAAAATGAATGTTTGTGTTGGTCTTGTCAATTGCAGTTAACCTTTATTAAGTATAGCTTGATTATTTACATACAGGATGGAAATAAAAAGCTTTAGTCATGTTTGAGCTCTTTATTTTCAGCCTGTTGACAGTTATTTTACGTCAGTTTGTCAACATGAATTTTAAGATTTTTAATTATGTTTTTACATTTTTATATTACAATTCATATCGAACAGGATGGAATGTTTCAAAGTAAAAAAAAAAAACATAGTACATGACAATACATGGCAACATCATAACATAATGGCAACAGCATAAAATTCACCTCCATGTCCCCTTAAATTTGTATTTTAAGATAGGGGTAATTGTACTGCATAACAGGATGGACCCTAATATATTTGATCTATGAGCAGTTTAGTGATGAATGGGTTCAGGCTTTATACACTGTGCCCTCAGAGAGACAAAGGGCAGATACTGTGACATTCTCATCTACGTCATTCTCCTGGCAACCTGTTATTATTTATGGAGATTATTAATAGCATGCCTTTGAAGATGAAAAGGCAGAAGAGCCCTTGCCGATCACGTCTCGGTTGTTTGGAAGTTCAGATTGATAGCGAAAAAAGAGTTGTGCTTTTCTCATGGCAGCCACTTGATAGCTGAAATTTGCAAGCGTGGTCGTGAGAGTCTGGTTTATGGCTACATCCTGTATTCAGATTTACACATCAGAGAATCGAAAATGTAGTGGAAAGAAAGAGGAGCGAAAGCACAACCGAGAGGGGGTCTTTTCAAGGTGAACTCCTTCAAGAGCAGCGGTTGGACAATATTCAAAAGCTTTTTTGGTGTAGGCCTATGCTAAAACAGTTAACCGTCTGCTGGGCTCACTGCCTGAAAACTGTCCCAATAAAAATCATTCCTTCATGCCAGGTCATGCTGGGCTCAAACATCCTTCTTGCCCCAGCGAGTTGCAGAAAGGTACGATGAAATGACCAGCAAGGTTTTTACAAGGGAATATCAACTGTTATGTGAAAGGAGTTTCTCAGGCACATATCTGAGATTCTCAGCTTATTTTTGGGATTGGAATTAGTTTACTAAAATCTAAAATGTAAACTAAAGTGAATCATACATTATGATGTACAGTATGAGATTTGCTAAAGTTTACATTTATTCAATTATTAGTGTTTTTAAAGATTAACTTTACTTGAGCATAATGGGAAAGTTTGGAAAAGAGCATGCTTTATATACAGTGTCCAACATCAGTGGTTATATGTCCAATATTAAATAAAAAACTCTAATAATAGCAATGACCATGCAAATAATCATGCAAATAAGTCAATGATTATGGTTATGGAATTTTCCAGAAAAACACAAGACACCTGAAATTACCATATAGCAAAATAATAATAACAATAATAATATTTTTTAATTTTTATATACATTTCTATTTGAAACAAACAAACACACACACCGATATGTATTTGTGGAGATATAGGTGTTTAAAATAGATTTTGGGCAATGTGTATATTGCAAATATTTATAAAAATGGCAAAAAAATATATGAGGAAAAATACCTAAAATAACTAAAACACATTGAAAAAGCTGTGTATTTTGAAATAAACATATATTAATATATTGCCATATGGGTTTTATAAATGCATGTCATCCATGTGAGAGATCATGCATAATAATATTGATTAGTATAATCTCAGAAAGATATGTCAGTGTAATACAGTCTATATGTTGTAACTTGTACTTGTATCCAGTGCAACACACACCTTTCCTCCTTGTATCTGAACACCTCCAGCTGCTGATATGTATTTAATATCCCCTGTTCCTTTGGCATAATACATTCCAGTTGTGCCTCCTTCCTTCCAGGGCTGCAGGCCTGTCTCCTATTTTATTTTTTCCATTCTCCACTAGAAGGATGTTGGCGATGATTTATAGAGCATGTCCAATTGGTTTCTGTGTACCAGCACAGGGCAGGGTGTCACAAGTGTGTTGGTACAGTAGGTCAAAATCCAATAAGGAACGAGGTGGGGATGACCGATATGGGCATAAGCCAACTTTGCCAAAAAGTTTTTTGAGGAAATCAAGTTCCCCATCAAAGAGTGTTTTATGCAGGGGCCCTGCACTGAAGGATTTTCAGCCTAATTACCGTGGAGGCTGGGCAGCCCAGCGTCAGATACCAGGAAAAGAGGCAGTGAAACATAAGACGTTTCAGGCTACGAGACCTGCTCTCTCTGCTACGGGCTTGTTATAAAACCCCCTTTCTCTCTTTGATACCCTTTTCAAAAAAAAAAAAAAAAAATGAGACTGCTTGCCTTTGGCAAATGAAAGTGTACTGGCACAAAAAGAATCTGTGTGTCCTTTTTCTGAGATAATAGAGACATAAGAAACACTCTTTTCACTTGAGAGAGCCCTGCATTAAGCAGTCTTTGGGATGGAGAGCAGGGATTTCTGTCAGTGAAGTGAATGGGGGTTAGCACAGCTGCTGAGGGCTTGGATCTGGTACCATGCTGGCTGCCTGTTTGAAGAGGGCTGCAGCTTAACAGGGCCTTCTAATACCTCCATTGTTCGTCATGCAGGGGTGCAGACCTCGAGTGCCAGGCTGAGGTGAAGAGGTCCACAGCTGCACCCAGTCTGAGAAGAGAGAATGTTGAGGTTTCGATTTTGTTGGGAATTGATTATAATAAACGAGTATAATAAATCTCAATGCAAGTTTTAGTATAGCGGTACAACAACTATGGCATAATATGAAAATTCTTCAATCATTTATGGGACTAAAGCACTCAAGCCTCAAAAAGGACACAAACTATTTTTTTAACACCTCAGTCCCCATTCATTGTAATTGCATGCAAAAGACTGGACCTAAGTAGTAAAATATTTTTAAAAATCTTCTTTTGTGTGTAAAATACATTCATAGTTTGGAATGACATGAGTAAATGATGACAGAATTTCAATTTCCGAATACAAATGGACATTTTTTTAAAATGGACATAATTCCCTTACTCTAAAAAATCCTGGGATGTTTCAACCCATGTTTGGGTCAAATACAGACAAATCCAAACGTTGGTTTAAATTTTTTCAATTTAAATTTTAAACCCACTTGTTGGGTTTGTTCATATTTGACCATATTTGAAGTACTTCAATTTCTGTCATTTAAGAGTTTTCAAAATGCAGAAAATAGTAACAATAAAAAATGAGCAGGAGTGGTAGTTTATATATGGAAAGATGTTGTGTGGTGTATAGAACCATTAAAGGTGCTGTCTGTAAGAATGACAGCTAGTGGTCGAAATAGGTACTGCAGTCCAAATTCAAAATATTGGAGATCATTGTTTCTCCCGCCCCCTCCTCCTCAGACTCAACGCTCACGTGGGTTGCCAGTTTGAGGACATGCAACAGGAACGAGCGCAATTGACAACGAAAGCCGAGGAGACTTACAGAGTAAGTTAATGAGTTGATTTATCCGCGTTTTAATATCCTCTCGTTCATAGTGATTTTTATGTAGATATCTGGGCTTTTTAGGTTGTGTGGAATCTACAATCTCTGACCCAGTTTGTTTGCTCGTTTCCAAGGCTGCAATACGTTGTGTTTCCTGCCAACTGGCATCCCGGGGTGTCGAAATACTATTGGGTGAACTGGCAGTGGGCGAGATCACACAGACCAAAACAAAAACCGACTGACAACACGGAACGTGTAAAATAATAAGTAAAATAACTGGCTGTAGAAGTGTTCATGTTTCCTACATATCTGCAAACATATTATGGTAATTTTATGCTTTAGTAGAGTAAAAAAGTTACATACAGCACCTTTAACCCCTTAACCACCTTTAACCCCACTTTGATCAACTCCTAACGAGTGCTGAGTAATCCCTCTCAAACGGAGTGTACCGCCAGCAGGTGCCACCTAGCTGTGATAAAAATAATAATAATATTTTTCAAAAATATGACCATGATCAACTTAAAATAAGTGTCATTTGAAAGCTTAGAGTCTGAAATTTACAATGAATGTAGCCAATCTGATATACTCCTAAGTAGTGCTGAGTTATTTGCTGATAAATACAACAACAAAAAAATCATAATTTATGAAGTACTTTTTTGTACTACATACTGCAATATGTCAAATACACTCACCGGCCACTTTATTAGGTACACCTGTCCAACTGCTCGTTAACACTTAATTTCTAAGCAGCCAATCACATGGCGGCAACTCAGTGCATTTAGGCATGTAGACATGGTCAAGACAATCTCCTGCAGTTCAAACCGAGCATCAGTATGGGGAAGAAAGTTGATTTGAGTGACTTTGAACGTGGCATGATTGTTGGTGCCAGAAGGGCTGGTCTGAGTATTTCAGAAACTGCTAATCTACTGGGATTTTCACGCACAACCATCTCTAGGGTTTACAGAGAATGGTCCGAAAAAGAAAAAACATCCAGTGAGCGGCAGTTCTGTGGGCGGAAATGCCTTGTTGATGCCAGAGGTCAGAGGAGAATGGCCAGACTGGTTCGAGCTGATAGAAGGGCAACAGTGACTGAAATAACCACTCGTTACAACCGAGGTATGCAGCAAAGCATTTGTGAAGCCACAACACGCACAACCTTGAGGCGGATGGGCTACAACAGCAGAAGACTCCACCGGGTACCACTCATCTCCACTACAAATAGGAAAAAGAGGCTACAATTTGCAAGAGCTCACCAAAATTGAACAGTTGAAGACTGGAAAAATGTTGCCTGGTCTGATGAGTCTCGATTTCTGTTGAGACATTCAGATGTTAGAGTCAGAATTTGGCGTAAACAGAATGAGAACATGGAACCATCATGCCTTGTTACCACTGTGCAGGCTGGTGGTGGTGGTGTAATGGTGTGGGGGATGTTTTCCTGGCACACTTTAGGCCCCTTAGTGCCAATTGGGCATCGTTTAAATGCCACGGCCTACCTGAGCATTGTTTCTGACCATGTCCATCCCTTTATGGCCACCATGTACCCATCCTCTGATGGCTACTTCCACCATGTCACAAAGCTCTAATCATTTCAAATTGGTTTCTTGAACATGACAATGAGTTCACTGTACTAAAATGGCCTCCACAGTCACCAGATCTCAACCCAATAGAGCATCTTTGGGATGTGGTGGAACGGGAGATTCGCATCATGGATGTGCAGCCGACAAATCTGCGGCAACTGTGTGATGCCATCATGTCAATATGGACCAAACTCCCTGAGGAATGCTTCCAGCACCTTGTTGAATCTATGCCACGAAGAATTGAGGCAGTTCTGAAGGCAAAAGGGGGTCCAACCCGTTACTAGCATGGGGTACCTAATAAAGTGGCCGGTGAGTGTACATCATACAGTTCAGATAGTCATGTGTCATTTGTCATTTGAAAGGTCTCAATGAGTAGAATACAACAAGCATAATTGTTTCGGGCTTTTTACTAAACTTGAGTGAGATTTTGTACAAGAAATCATATATGGATGCTTAATTTAAGACACATTTCCGCTCCTAACTTCAAACATTCCGATTGTGGAAAATGACACATCATTATTTACAGCAGATTCTTACGATTAAAATGAGTCCAAACTCAACATAATCCATCACTCAGAAGTAAAGATTTTCATCAAGGAGTTCTAACACAAAAATCCACAGACACACGTAGCCAAGCAAGGTAGCTTAGACTTGGCCCTTTCACTTGTATCTTCATGAAACATACATCGATCATGAAAAATCACACATCATTATTTACAGCAGGAGCTCACGATTAAAAAGAGCCCAAACTCAATATATTCCATCAATCAGATTTAAAGATATTCCTCATGGCGTTCTAACACAAAAAAATACCACAGAGGCACCTAGCCAAGTATATACTGGTGAAGAGCACGCGTTGGTTTTTCGCTTATAACTACATGAAACATGTACAGATCGTAGATTATTGCACAACATTATTTTCAGCAGACTCTCACGATTAAAAAGTGCCCAAACTCAGCATAATCCATCACTCAGATCTTAAAATATTCCTAATGGAGTTGTAACACACGAACCCCCACAGGCGCACAGAGCCGTATATAGATTCAGCACTGATGTCGCGTTTTCACTCATAACTCAATGAATCATGCATAAATCGTGGATAACATCACATCATTATTTACAGCAGATTGTTAAAGCTCCAGTCCGTAACTTTTTTAAGTTAAAAATAATCCAAAATAATTATATTAAAAAAAAACTTATTCTGCCAGTGGTCAAAACTATCTGCTTGCCATAGCTAGATTCAAAACGGTTAGCTTGTAATAATGATTTTAATTCCAGTGGTACTGGTGGGTTTCCGCGGGAAATTCGAGCATGTCTTTGCGTCATGACGTCACACCCGTACACATAAAGAAGGAGTTTCGGCTAGCCGGCTACTGCGCGTGACGAGATGTTTAGATGTATAGGCTTTTCTCGCAGCACTTTACATAATTAAACTTATGGCATCCAGAAAGATCCAAACAACAATCATCAGTGTCAACTGGAGATTTAGCAGTTATAAAACCCAAAAGACTTCGTACTTCGGATTTAAGGTGGCTAGAGAAAGAGAAAGAAACCGTCTCATGCGAACACAAGGATTTAAACATCGGCGGGGCTTTTGAAAAGTGCTTGAACTCCGTGTTTTGAAGGGGTTCAAAACGGAAGAAGAGACGGCTTTTTTCTGCTGAACAAGTAAGACATTTCAATAGTTCAATCGTGTGACAGTACGTTTTCTTAATTCACACAGTTATGGAGTTTCCTTTGTTGTGCCTTTCTCGTTTTGCTATTATGGAGAATATGAATTCTGAACTACACAGGTAGCTGCTAACCATAAAACACATTAAATTTAACATTAGTCACGCAATGCTGATGTTGTTAACATGAACAATTTGAGAACAAAGTAGGCTATAATTTGCACGGTTGCTGTAAATCACGTTGATTAAATCTAACGAAGCTTATCATGTCGAATGCTTTTTCCCCCTTAGTTGGTCAGAACAAAAATGGATTTTACTTACTTGTTCAGAAGACATTTTCTTATGAAAATTCTTATGTTGGTCAAACTTTCAAAAAGTAAATCTGTGATTCTGTATGACATTATACAGAATCACAATTTACTCATCCACACAGCGCGGTGACTGACAGCAGCACTCGCCTCAAAGCACTGTGTTCATCCGCGCTGTTTCATGCCGATTTACAACCCACGTAAAGATAATAATTCCGCGAATCACTGCAGTTACAGATTTCGAACAGAGAGATGGCGACAAAGAGGAAAAGTTCCGGACTGCAGCTTTAAGATTAAATAGAGCCCAAACTCACCATAATCCATCACTCAGCTACAAATATATTCCTCGTGGACTTCTAACACATGAAGTTGCACAGGCGCACCAATGAAGTAGCAGTAGCAGTGATGCTATGTTGTTTTGATGTGACGTTTCAGCTCACTCCACGAAACATGCATGGATTGTGAAAAATCGAACACCTTTATTGACAGCAGATTCTCACGATTACAAAGAGCCCAAACACAACGTTGAACGTGAGATATACCTCACGAAGTGATGCATACTTGGCTAAAAAACATGTCTCTCATCTTTCCGGGATGCAATGTGTTTTCCAATGTTCCCTGAACCATCCGTGTTATGTTTTTTT